CGAGTTAAATCAACTCTGCTCAGAGTACATATTGTCCCAATCTACAGAGTGTTAAATTAACACTGAAGCCGAGTTAAAGTTAATGGGATAATTAAGCAATTAATTAATTGATGAGTGTGCATTAGTAAAGAAAACCCGCTGTTAACTATGTTGAAGATGAACAACTACTGCTCAGGCTTTTAGACATGAAAACATATAAAATAATCCTCAACAGTGGTAACTCTGCTTCAGTGTTAATTTAACACTGTAGATTGGGACAATATGTACTCTGAGCAGAGTTGATTTAACTCTGGGATTTTGCTGTGTTTGACTTAGACTAATATTCTGTCTAACATCTCCTTTTGTGTTTTGAAAAAAAAAACAACACCACACACAAGGATGAATGAATAATAACAATTTTCTTTGGGCAAATAGTTTATTAAGATGTTAGCATTAAATCATTGGTCAATGCATGTATTTTCCAATTTTAAAATGCTATTATACTAGCATACACTTTTGCATGCTCTATGGCAATATTTTTTCTAACTTGTTGATAATTTCTCTAACTATTATTAAGCATCACAATATTGGTTTGAACTTGAAGTGTTCTTCATTTTGTTTATTTAGCACAGAACATGCAATACCTAACAGCTTCTTTCATATACAGAGTTTCAGACTGCAGTGTCACTGAAGAAGGTTATCTAGCTCTGGCTTCAGCTCTGAGATCAAACCCTTCACACCTGATAGAGCTGGATCTCACAGGAAATGATCCTGGACAATCAGGAGTGAAGCAGCTCAGTGATTTACTACAGGATGGACACTATAAATTGAAGACCATCAGGTGATTAAAACCTTCAAATACTTATTAAAATTGTAAATTTCAAATAACCTTTCTGGAATCATGCTGCAACAACAATCAGTTGACAAGCTGTATCTTGTTTTGATCCAGTGTTTAATTAATCACATCATATGCCATATGGAAGATTATAACAGTCAGAAACATGTATTTCTTTGCATTAGCAAGTAAAAGCCCTTTTAGTATTATTTTTAAAATGCCCCCATTCAAGTTGTGGTAAACATATCTTTTTGCTGTGAGATCTTTACTGATTTTTATAAGGTAAACAACTTTTATATTAGTAATATTTCAAGATGAACACTTACTGGGCTAAAGCAACATAAGTTTGCTTGATTATTTACACATCAGGTGTTTTTTTTTATTTTTATGAAAATTATGTATCAAATATGAAACATCGGGGTTTTGAGGGACGTTTATTTGTTTATCTCTGAATCCCACACACAAAAAAAAACCTAAAGAGCTTTGATAATACAATTTAAATATAATTTCACTAAGACACATTATTTGGACATATAGAATGACAACTGATATTTACAGTATATGTGTTTTAGTCTGCTTTACTGTTATAAAGATCTCACTGACATTATATTATAAGCTTTTAACATTTTATATTTTCTCAGTTTGGGCCTCTGAATACAATTTTAACAACAACAACAATGTTATGTTTACACTTGCTAATATCATGTTCTCTTTAAACGACTGAAGTTTAAAAAACTGAGTAACATTAAATTGAGCTAGGAACAACTAAAAACCAAATGGAACCTCACACTAATACATTAACTATGGAAACATATTAGTGGGGATGATCTGTGTTTGCTGAACTCCACCCATAAGCAGGATGGGAGCAGCAAACAGTATAAAATTACAACAAGATTATCTCATCTAAAATTGTCTTCTACTTCCTATAGGTTTTTGAAAAGTCCTGCTGCAGAGGAAGCGTGTGACTATCTTACTAAATTACTGGGTACAAGTCCATTATTACTGAAAGAACTGGATCTGAGTGAAGATAAATTAGGAGATCTGGATTGGGAGAAACTCTCTGCTCTTTTGATGGACTCTCACAGCAAACTGGAGAAATTGAAGTGAGTCAACGTGATTTTATAGGCAAGGTTATTCATGTAGAACATGTATGAAAATTCAAAGTGCTATACAAAAAAAGTGATTAACAATTTTCATAAAAGGTGTATAAGAAATGTAAAACATATTTTAAATGAAATAAGAGAAAAATACAGAAATAAAATACAGTGCGATCAGTAAATCCAGCACAGTGCTCAGATAATACAGTGTTAAACAGTGTTTATAGTCTGGATTTGAATGTGCCTACTGACTTTTCTTGTGTTGTTGAACATAAACAAACCTTGTTTTGAACCTTAGTATTTCTGTATGTAAATGTAAAATGGCTTGTATAATCCTTTTTTTATGCATCTCTTGTATTTTTGTAACTCAGTTTTTGTCATTAGGTATTTCTAACTGGCTCAACCCTATTTTATTCATTTATCATATCCTCATTGTCTCTTAGTAATTGGCCACTGAATAAATTAACAGGCAATAATACTATAAAATCCATTCTAACTGTACATGGAAGCCATGTGTGATGTTCTGGTTCTGGTCATAATTCCTTATAGCTACATGTATAATATTGTAATACGGGTCAAGAGGGAGGAAGGAAGAAGACAGGGTCAGCGGACTGGGACGCAAGTATTTATTCAAGTCTCTCAGTAAATACAACAGAACAAGGCGCTCACTGCGCCACCAAACTCTCCGTCTCAATAACTCAGAATATAGTTCTATATCTGCTTTGCTTCAGTAGCCCAGCTTCCCGGGTGGCTTGCGTTCCCAGTCAGTGTCTCTATGCCTTCCATGCTCCAGGTGGCCCCTTTTATCTGGTCTCTCCACACCAATTACTGAAATGAGACACAGGTGATTATCATTTGCGCTTGACCTACTTACGCACCGCTCATCTCATGCCTCTCTCTCCCGGTGCAGACCTCTCTGAACCACGCCCCCCTCGCCACATACTTCATTTTTAGTGAGGTCAGTCAGTGGGCTGGTGAGGTCCGAATACTTAGGTACAAACCTCCTATAATATCCTGCCAGCCCCAGGAACTGCCTCACCTCCTTTTTGGTCTTGGGTCTCGGACAGGTCACAACTGCTGCCGTCTTGTCAATTTGGGGACGCACCTGCCCGTGACCCAAGTGGAAGACCGTACCTCCACACGCCCAACCGCACACTTTTTCGGGTTGGCCGTTTGTGTGGGTAAACATACTGGGCCTCATTTATCAATCTAATGTAGAAAAGAGCACAGATCCGTGCGCACAAATCTACTTACGACAGAGTTCATGTGTGATTCATGACACATTCGTATGCCGCCAATCTCATATGAATGATCGCATGTTGATAAATGTGGCGGCAGAAAACAATCGTCATTTGAATATCACGCCCCTAAAAACACCCTGGTTTAGAAGCCTCGCCCCTAGAGTTTACAATACGGAGAAACGAAGAGAGAAATTGATCTTACTCCAAAAACACCCGTTAACCTTGTAATTCCAAACAATTAGGCTACATTAATTTATGTAATTTATACTATTTCAAATACTGGTAAATATAAACAGCATATTTAGTTCCCCTCACTCTACAACAAATATTTTACATTTAACGGTAACAAGAATGAAAAATAAGTAATTATAAAATGATATATTAAACTATTAAATAAAACACAAATTAGGCTATATTGGCATTCATTATAAACAGCATACACATGTCAAGCAAAACTGAAACGGCATTGGGCTCACGAGCCTGTCTATATATTGTGTGCGATCCTTTTTATTTTATAGATTAATTTCTTTTTTTTCTCCTTTCACAGAAGTGCTGAAGGTGCATGATGCGACGATTGAATCCTTGTGGTCTTGTTTACGCTGCTATTCGCGCATATAAAGCTAAAGACATTCTAATCTTACTGGTTAACTATCAACTAATGAGCTTCATGCTGCGCGCAAGTTCAGGTACTTGCGTACATGAGCTGAGACCAGACGTGAGATTTGATCATAGCCACCGCTCACGTCCATATTGATAAATTCCAAGTTTTGCGTTGAAACGACCATACGACCAATTTTCTGTCATACGTTCGTTTCGTAAATGAGGCCCACTGTATAAAGTCCTATTGATCTAATTTGTGTTAAATATTATTTATTTTTTTTGTATTTAGGCTGAGTAATTGTGAGCTGACAGAGAAAAGCTGTTCAGTTCTAGCTACTGTTCTCTCCTCCAAAACCATCCTGAAAGAGATGAACCTGAACAACAGCCGTCTGCTGGACTCAGGAGTCAAAGAGATCTGTGAGGGACTGAAGAATCCTGTGTGTGAGCTGGAGATACTCAAGTGAGTACATTTCAGTTGTAGTCAGTTACATCATATACACTCAACACAACAGGAATCACAAAATATATTTACTTCTATTAAACCGCTAGGAGAGGACACAATATAAAATTAACTATGCTGGTCAGTGCGGGTAATTTAACATATTAAGCATTTCTTTTGTGGGAGATCCCCAACCCACAGGGGCGGATTTAGTGAATTGGGGGCCCCAGGCAAAATATAGGAATGGGGCCCTATTTGCACACATTTTCCTAGATCAAACTTGAGGTTCCTTTTTTGTTGTGATGCTTGCTGCTGCACAATGGTGCCCCATAGTTGTGTCCAATGTTTCTACATTTTTCATGTACATGTTATAATGGCTTTCTTTCATGTTGTGGGGGGGACCAAATGATCAGTGAGAGCAGGACGAATGTGTTACGTTTTAAACTCAACAAAATGGTACAATACATATATCAAGAGCATGCTCACAGATGAGAACAAAACAGCGTTGGGTGAAGTGGATTAGAGCCCTGCACGGGCCTCAAATATAGGCCTTTTTTTTATAAAGTAAATTTAGAAAACCGTTTGGAGCATTTTTTGTTTGTTAAATATAAGTTGTTGTTTTAATATGATGGTAAAAGTAATTGAAATTAGCACAAATGTCAGGGCATCTCCAGGATACCAACAAAATGACTGTATATGATAAAGAAAGGCAAAGAAATGCTTCTGTAATATAATGAATTGTGTATTGCCTCAATAATCAGAGAAAATAAATAATAATGGTATTTTTGAATACAATTAATATTGCTGAAAAAAAATCTCAAATGCATTTTGTGTTAAATCTCTTTTCTCTAGACTTTCAGACTGCAGTATCAGTGACGAAGGTTATCTAGCTCTGGCTTCAGCTCTGAGATCAAACCCTTCACACCTGATAGAGCTGGATCTGACAGGAAATGATCCTGGACAATCAGGAGTGAAGCAGCTTGATGATTTACTACAGGATCCAGACTGTCAGCTGAAGACACTGAGGTGAGAGATGATGAAATAATACTTAAATGATGTGCTGGTGAATTATTTATAGAAAAAAATATTTCACTAATGCAATATGATGCATAAAATACAACCATTTCACACATTTATTCATCAGATTTGGCTGCTGTTTTTCATTACTCCAAGTTTAATGGAGAACTGAACTGAATCCTGCTTCATCTTCTCTTCTGCAGGTTTTTGGGTCCTGCTGCAGATGAAGCCTGTCAGTATGTGAATAGAGTTCTGGGTGAAAACCTGTTACTGCTGAGAGAGCTGAATCTGAGTGAACATGAACTAGGACTCTCAGGATTGAAGGAACTTACTATGGTACTGCAGGACAAACACTGTAAACTCAACACAATGATGTAAGTTTTATCATTATTATGACAATTTCAATACTTATGAACTTTCTGCTGGATGTTTTATATATAGTTTACCACTTCTAACAACTAACTCTTTAGTATTTAACAAATATTTAGTTGAAACTGTAACTGAAACTGCTTTTTCTCTTAACACAGTCTGAATAACAGCAATATCACAGAAGAAGATTGTCGTTTATTGGCTGCAGCTTTAAATTCAAACCCTTCGAATCTGACAGAGCTGAATCTGAGTCAGACTACACTCAAAAATTCAGTAATGAAGTTCTTCTCGACTCTGTTTAAGAATGAACAGTGTAGACTGAAAACACTGAAGTAAGTAATTTAGTCAATGTGTTAAAAAAGGACAACTACTGAAAAACTATTGTCATGTAAATCTCATTTTGGTGGACTAAAGTAATAAGAGACAAAGCTACTAGTTGCATAATAGTATTTATGGCTTTTTCTCTCTGTTCTACAGGTTTAATTGCATCAGTATTACAGCAGAAGGTTGTGCTGCTCTGACTTCAGCATTTAATTCAAACCCTTCAAACCTGATAGAGCTGGATCTGAGTGGAAATAAACTAGAAAACTCAGGAGTGACTGAAATCTCCACTCTACTGGAAAACTCTCAGTGTACACTGCAGATACTCAGGTTTGAATTTGGTGAATTTAAAAATGAATCATTAATATATTTTACAATAGTAAAAAAAAACAGTATGCGAAATGAATAATTTGTTTATTTTTTTTGGTCTTCCTCTAGACTCTCAAACTGCGGTATCACTGAAGAAGGTTATCTAGCTCTGGCTTCAGCTCTGAGATCAAACCCTTCACACCTGATAGAGCTGGATCTCACAGGAAATGATCCTGGACCATCAGGAGTGGAGCAGCTCAATGATTTACTACAGGATCCAGACTGTCAACTGAAGACACTGAGGTGAGATGTGATGAGATAATACAAAAATAAATTATATATGCAGTAATAAAAATATTATTTCACAAATAAAGTCTGCTGCTCAAGATACAATTTCTTCACAAAGTTTAGTTGAATTGAATCCTGTTTCATCTTGTCCTTTGTAGGTTTTTGGGTCCTGCTGCAGATGAAGCTTGTCAGTATGTGGCTGGAATTGTGGGTAAAAACCCGTTACTTGTGGAAATACACTAGAAAACTCAGGAATGAAAAAGATCTGTCATCTGGTAGAAAACAAACAATGCAGATTAGAAAAGCTGAAGTGCGTATTGACATTAATCCAAATTACTATATGTTAATATACAATAATGTTCAATTTATTATTTTCATATAGTTTCACTTAGACTGGGGTTAATGTTCTGCATAACATCTGCTTTTGTGTTTGACTCAAGAATTACGTTTTAAACAGCATGTGGGTGAATGAATAATGACAATTTTCTTTTTGGCAAATGATTAATTTATTAAGTTTTGATTATCAAGGATTTGGTTAATGCATCTATTTATAGATTATTTGGGAGAAAAACTCACTAGATAAGCATACATTTTTGTTAGTTATAAGTTCTTTATAAAGCTCAGTATATGTATGATAAACTGTATCTCAACAAAGAAAACTATTATTTTCTGTTCTAGACTTTCAGACTGCAGTATCACTGAAGAAGGTTATAAAGCTCTGGCTTCAGCTCTGAGATCAAACCCTTCACACCTGATAGAGCTGGATCTCACAGGAAATGATCCTGGACCATCAGGAGTGAAACAGCTCAGTGATTTACTACAGGATGGGCGCTATAAATTGAACACCATCAGGTGGAGAAATCTTAACATATTTAAAAGTTGTACTTTAAAATTAACTTTCTGCAACCATGCTGCAGTGCTGCATCAATAATCAGTTGAGAAGTCATGTCTTCTTTTGATCATTTTTTTAATCACATCACATACAATATGCAAGATTAGGAGCATTATATTACATTGTATTAACAGAACAGATGTGTGATTCTTCTGTAAGTTTTTTAATATGTTCCACGTGAATAGCAAATTGACCTTAAACAGTTACTGAACAGTCTACTAAATACTATTTTTAAATAAATGTATTTCGTGCATGGATTGTGCCCTCTAGCGGCTGCATGTGGAGCACGATTAGCATCTTAGCTATATGGTCCACTAATGACTAACACAACCTGTCCTGTACACAGTTTTCATGGTTTCTTTAAGTATCTGAATTTCTTTTTCCAAACTGGCTAAACACCCCCTGACTAAGCCTTTTACAGCAGCCACCCCCAAAACTCTCGAGGAGTGGAAACATAATGTCTCTTGTCCAAAAACCTAAATTCTTAATTCTCTTCTACATCCTGCAGGTTTCTGAAAAGTTCTGCTGCACATGAAGCATGTGATTATCTCACTAAAGTTCTGGGTAAAAGTCCATTATTACTGAAAGAACTGGATCTGAGTGAAGATAAATTAGGAGATCTGGATGGAGAGAAGCTCTCTGCTCTTTTGATGGACTCTCATAGCAAACTGGAGAAAATGAAGTGAGTCAACATGATTTATACATTATAACTTCTGTTTATTCATTATAAAAGACTGCTAGTCACATCTGTGAACAAAAATAAAGACCTAATGATCTGATGTGTGTTGAATATGTTGAAAAAAAAATAATGCTGTTTCTGTGTTCAGGCTGAATAATTGTAAGCTGACAGAGAAAAGCTGTTCAGTTCTAGCTACTGTTCTCTCCTCCAAAACCATCCTGAAAGAGATGAACCTGAACAACAGCCGTCTGCTGGACTCGGGAGTCAAAGAGATCTGTGAGGGTCTGAGGAAGCCTGTGTGTGAACTGAAGATACTCAAGTGTGTACATTACACTAGCAGCTACACTCAACAAAATAACAATCATAATAATATGGTTTAACTAGATAGTCTTTTTCCTTCTGTCAAAACTTTGAGATTTGATTTAATTAATTTAAGAATTGTTTTAATTGACACTTGAAAATTAATTTGTAGCATTCAGTTTTTTTATAATCTCACAGACACTAATTTTAAGTGGCATTTAGGGAATTAGTTGACCACAACACACCCACACACACACATACTGTATGTATATATAAACAAATATGTATATAAGCACATAGCCGCATTACTTGAAAACTTATTGGATAATGCAATGTTCAATTATTATTTTCAGGCTAAGTAAGTGTGATCTAACAGATGAAAGCTGTTCAGCTCTTGCTTCGGTTCTCAGTTCAGACTCCAGCAGTCTGAAGGATCTTGACCTGAGCAATAATAATCTGCAGGATTCAGGAGTGAAGCTGCTCTCAGACGGGCTGAAAGAGAACTGTAAGCTAGAGAAGCTCTGGTGAGTTGCTGTGTAACTCTGGGCCTTTTGTTTGTTTAAATAGTTACTCATCAGTAAGTAAGCAATCATGTCAAAAAGTGTGTGTGTGTTTATATAGCATGTATACGCATTATTTTGTTATTGTAATGGCAGGAAGCACATTTTTTTTCTCACCTGAACATTTTCACAATGCTGTAGTTCAATTTTCACAATGTATCATGTGAAAAAATGTTGTAGTCATTCTGTAGTCAACATTTTGTCCTCTTGCACTGGTTGTCATGACAATGTCAGTTTAGGTTTATGACCGCTGCACATGAGAGCTCACTGACAGAACTAATCCAGTGCTACAAATAAGTACAACAGCATTCCACTGAAACATTCTGGCATGAATGAAAAAAAAAGAATAACATGCTTTACTTGTTTGAAAAAGTAAATCAGTTAATTTGTTGTTAATTTAAAAAGCACTGCATTACTTTACTCATTGCTTGAAAAAAGTAATCTGACATACAAGTAAACTTTCATTTCTTGAGTTTCTAGAATAATGAATTAATCACATAAATGTTCCATTTTCACCTCTGTTCTAGTCTTTCAGACTGCAGTATCACTGAAGAAGGTTATAAAGCTCTGGCTTCAGCTCTGAGATCAAACCCTTCACACCTGATAGAGCTGGATCTCAGAGGAAATGATCCTGGACAATCAGGAGTGAAGCAGCTCAATGATTTACTAGAGGATCCAGACTGTCAACTGAAGACACTGAGGTGAGATTTCAATGTTCAGTGCATCAAGTGACCGACTGCTAAATTCAGAGTCAGACCTGATTTCACGCTTTGGCTGGCACTTAGCCAAAGATGAATGCGCTCAGTGCTTGGCGTCACAATGCATCACAACTATGCAGTATTTTCAACCACATAATATTTATTTTAGGCTTCAGACATTTAGATACACATAAGTTCTAGCAAAAAAAAATGTAGTTTGTAAAATACACATTAACGTCTATGGGATCAGCGATAATGATCCTTTCAACTATATTTTGATGTGTTTTATTAATATAATGTAGGTAACAATAAAGTTTATTCTATTCTTCTCACAATTCACCAGCCACTTACTGTCACATTAACACTCAGTTTAGATGTCGTTGTTTTCAGTTTGCACCATTTTCCTTAGTTTGTTGTCATTGTTGTTAATTGATTTGTCATTTGGCTCAGCTGTGTTCAGTTCATTTTCACCAGTACTTAAGTTCTCTCAGTTTCTGTTCAGTGGGTCTGACCACGTTAATGCTTTGTAGATGTTACCTGTGTCTTCTATGGACTGAGTGCTATATTAAAAATACTACTGTTTCTTCATCATCATTGTGTTCGTTTTCGAGTGAACTACAAACCGTGACACTTACTTTCATGTCTTTCACAAAGTAATATGGCGGAACACATCGCCCGTTATAGATCAACTAATATGATCATTATATAAATGACCAAATACATTTACTAGCACATATTTGAGAATTGGAATATCAGATGTTTCGTAATATAGTAACATGTTTGTGAATATTTTGAATAAAAAAGGGAAAACTAAATAAATGCAATACATTACGCATACAGAGCTAGAGTTAATGCAGTCTGTCATGTGACAAGTATGACACGTCACCATGGAAACAATACACATTCTAAAATAACAGTTGCGTTAAACTAAAGACTATAGAATACCCAAGACATGTAAAATGCAACACTCAATATGGCCGCTCAATCGCAGGAAGCCCCGCCTTCTGAATGAAAGAGCCAATCGCTAATTGGTAAAGTCAGCGCGTCACTGCAGCTGCCAGAAGTCCCGGTTGCTAGAGAAACAGTCAGCGTTCAGAGACGTGCGCTTAGGACTGCGCATGCGCACTGGCTGATTTAGCCTGAAAAAAATATGCTTTTTATAACGCTATTTGAGCAAAAGAAACAACATTTATGACACAGTTGTTGTCAGATTTCTTTGGTGATTTCAAATATGAAATTTAATCGTAAGCTTAGTGAACAGTTTTGGAGAATTTGATGTTTCTCCATACAAAGAGATAGGAGCTGCACTTGCCCGAGAGGCGTTTCAAAGATGGCCGCCGCGTGACATGACTTGTCTTAAAGAGACTTTGGTTAAACTCACACTGGGAGCTCAGCTAGAATATTTTAAACTTATGTGTGAAAGGGTTAATATTAGACTATTATTTAAAAAGACTATTAGGGTTCTAAGCAAAAAATGTTATACCTTTTTTTGTGTGCAGGTTTTTGAGTCCTGCTGCAGATGAAGCCTGTCAGTATGTGACTGGAATTGTGGGTAAAAACCCGTTACTCCTGAGAGAGCTGAATCTGAGTGAACGTGAACTAGAAGACACACGAGTGAATCAGATCTCTGCTCTACTGAAGGATAGACACTGTAAACTCAACACACTGACGTGAGTATTGCACATTGTTTTATACTTTACAGTATACATATCTTTAAAACAGAATAACAGTTTATATTACATTTTGATAATTGTCATTGAAATTTTTTTTAAACTCTTATTTGTATAGAAAGCCATTAGGACTCAGACACTGCGTGCAGCTAAAATAAGCACAGTTGATGAAGACATCAAGCATAAAAATGAATGAACGTGACATAGAGGTTACGCAGCTAAATATAGTGAATCCCAGTTAAAGTGCAAAAAAACTTCATTTTCATTTTCAAATTTCATTTAAACCTGTTATCATGACCCTAACTTGTTGGTGAGTCCTCACAATGTGTGCTCAGACTGCAGACAGCCCTTACGCCTGTTTCACACATACTCCGTCTGCAGTGTGTGTGCGGTGCAGAAGCAGCACGGACTCGTGCTTTCACACAGGACACGTGTGCAGTTCGCTCCTGATCCGCGGCTGTTTACCACAAACACAACATTTATCCATTATTTTGATTTCAAATCCAAACGTAGTTAGCCTATACTGAAAGTGTTTTTCAGCATTGTGATCCTCTTTTATCACAGTACAGCTACACAATATTTCATAGATGTATTCACGTTTAAACTCAGTTAATATAAACAGCGTATTAAATGCATTTGGCTTTTAGATGTGTACATTAAGTTGCTCAAGCAAGTGGAAACACATTTGAATACAGCATATAGCTTTCTTGTGTTAGGTTATCACAGATATTTTAAATTAAAACTTACCACTGACAGAAACAGTCGGCTCTCGTGACTTTTACATTTAAATCTTGATTACAAACAGTCCAGGGTCTTAAAGAACTTTGTTTTTCTACCTCCACAAGACACGTGCATATGTTGCCTTGTATATCTAAAAGTGCATGTTTGTTTGTTTTAAACCTAGCCAAAAAGCCCGTGAAACACAGTAGACTTTAATTATATCTATTTATTGTGAAATTACTACATTTCAGTTTCAATCCATGTTCATTTTTACTGCGAACAAAGCGCTGTCACTTTAATTCAGCGCGTGCAGCACAGCAAAAATAGGCTCGGTGCGTAAACGATCGCTGCACCGCTGCAGACGCGCCGCTCCTGGAACGCACTGACGGACCGCAACCGCGAGCAGTGTGAAAGCTCTAATCCGTTAACATGGGTGCGTAAAAAAACCCGCAACGCACACGCACTGCAGACGGAGTATGTCTATGGAAACTAATTTTTTTTTATTTTTTTTACTTTGTGTTTAAAGAGAACTTTAGCCATTGTATGAAACTCAAATGAAGCAGGTTCTATTAATGCACTGGGTGTAGTACTTAACTGCTTTTTATGTATATTTAGACTTTCAGGCTGCAGTGTCACTGAAGAAGGTTATAAAACTCTGAGTTCATCTCTGAAGTCAAACTCAAACCTGATAGAGCTGGATCTCACAGGAAATTATCCTGGAAAATCTGGAGTGCAGGGTCTCATTAATTTACTGCGGGGTGGATGCTGTAAATTAAAGATTGTCAGGTAATACAAGCCTTTTAGTATTTCGAAATAAGCCAAAGACATTCAGGTGTGTGCAACTAGTTAAATGTGACAAATAAAGCAAATGCAGAATTAGAATGACATGAAGAGGAATGTACTGAATTGCTATTCAGCAAAACGGGTAATATTTATCACAATTATGACTAACACATTCTACTCTTTACTATACTTTAGTACTACACTGGACCCATAAGGAGGATGGGAGCTGCAAAAGGCATACAATTCTAACAAGATTATCTCATTAAAATTTTCTAAATGTTCTGCTTCCTGTAGGTTTTTGAAAAGTTCAGCTGCACAGGAAGCGTGTGACTATCTGAGTCAAGTTCTTGGTACAAATCCATTAGTACTAACTGAACTGGATCTGAGTGAAGATAAATTAGGAGATCTGGATGGGGAGAAGCTCTCTGCTCTTTTGATGGACTCTCATAGTAAAATAGAGAAAATGAAGTGAGTGAACATGATTTATAACTTTTGTTTTGTTCAGTATAAAGTACTGTCAGTCACATGTGAGCAGATATGAAGAACTGTTGATCTGATGTGTTGAATATGATCTGAATAATAAATAATGCTGTTTTTCTGTTCAGGCTGAATAATTGTAAGCTGACAGAGAAAAGCTGTTCAGTTCTAGCTACTGTTCTCTCCTCCAAAACCATCCTGAAAGAGATGAACCTGAACAACAGCCGTCTGCTGGACTCAGGAGTCAAAGAGATCTGTGAGGGACTGAAGAAATCTAAGCTAAAGATATTAAAGTGAGTACATTTCAACATCACCTACACTTAACATTATATATTTATTGAATCTGGTAGCTTCCAGAGGTGAAAAAAAAGTAAGATTTTTTTTCTCTCATAACAGTGGTATTATCTCTAGGTAAAATTAAAACTTAAAGAATTTTTTGTTGAATGTAATAAAAAAAAATGGCACAATTAGAAATAAAATAAATGGAGCAAATAATTACAATTAAGTATAATTAATTACAGTTATTTATATCAGCTGCCAGTGGTAACTGTAGCAGAATTATTATTACCATCAACTAATCTGTTTGTCCAGCGAGCATTCAGTGTAATTTCATATCAACTCTAAAAAAAAAAATTTTGTGGCCACAGAAAATAACTTTCTTTCAGAAAATGACATTATTTCTAGTGCAGTAGAGCATGTAACCAGATCGGCTTGTTAAAGGGACATTATCCGAAAGCAGTGACAGTCAGAAACCCATGTAATTTGTGCACAACATTTTTATTAACTAAACACTAACACATAACTAGTGTAAGCAAGCAAACAAACATACAATCACACATATATGGGGGAGGGGCACATGAGACTGAATGAATGAAGCCATTAGAGAAACAGGATGAAGCTATGAAAAGGAGTCAGTTAACCACCTGAGTGAAACCATCAACACTGTTTTCTGTAGATGGGGTCTACAGCTTATTCTAAACCTCTGTTCCATTTAGTTAAATGTATGATACTTGCATTGCCTTGGCCGTTGAATGAGTGTCTGGATGCAGTCTCGGATGAAAGTCTTGATGGTTCGATGGTGTTGGAATTGCAATCACGTTCTACCAGGTTTGAACAGTGACAAACTCCAAAGATGTTATTCTGACTCAGTGGTGGTTGAGAGAGTTTTCTCCCAGATGGAAAATGAAGACATGGTTGTAATCCATAAAAAAGCTGAAGTGGTTTGCTTACATGTCTGTTTTTTGTTTATCATATCTGATCATGTATTGAGCTCTGGTGTGTTCTAGTTATATATTGTGACTCAGCATATTGTGCAGCAATTAATTAACTTGAAACTTGTTAAACATTTTTAAATGTATTTAAATTTAAGCTTTATGTTTTGTAGACTTTCAAACTGCTGTATCACTGAAGAAGGTTATAAAGCTCTGGCTTCAGCTCTGAGATCAAACCCTTCACACCTGATAGAGCTGGATCTCACAGGAAATGATCCTGGACAATCAGGAGTGAAGCAGCTCAGTGATTCACAAAAGGGATGGGGTATTTTATCAAAAACACTGAAAACACTGAGGTAAGTGTTATTAAAATAGTAAAATGCAAAAGTTTATAGCTGGAAGAGATTTAAACCATCAAAAAGAAATTTATAAAAGCTTTGAAATGACTGACCTTGAAATTACCCTTTAAAACAAGATTGCAAAAAATCATTATATGGCAGGTAATGTCAGTGTACTTCTCCTGTGTCCAGGTTTTTAGGTCCTGCTGCAGATGAAGCCTGTCAGATTGTGACTGGAATTGTGGGTAAAAACCCGTTACTCCTGAGAGAGCTGAATCTGAGTGAAAGTGAACTAGGAGACACACGAGTGAATCAGATCTCTGCTCTACTGCAGGATAAACACTGTAAACTCAACACACTGACGTGAGTATTGTGTTCATTTATTATTGTATATTGATCTTAAATTAGGTGACAAAACAGTATTTCTCAGTGATTAATTTCTCAGAGACTGAATGTTGGCACCAGATATTGTGTTTATAAATTATCTCTCCTGTTCAATATTTTAGTCTGCGCAAGTGTGGTCTAACAGAGAAAAGCTGTTCAGCTCTCGCTACAGTCCTGAGATCAAACTCCAGTCTGAAAGAACTTGACATGAGCTACAATAATCTGCAGGATTCAGGAGTGAAGAAACTCCAGAACGGATTAGAAGATACAAACTGCACACTGCAGAAACTCAGGTGAGCTCAGTGTGAATCATTGTTTGATTTTAATCATAACATAGTCTTTTGATCAAAGTTAAAATTACTATAGAAACAGGAAACAGAAAGAAACAATAAAAAAATGCCTTTGTCAAACGATGCATTTTTCTTTACTTATAAGAAAAAGTACATTTGATGATTTTATGATATAAAACTGTTTTTAAGTGATATTTTTTTATTTTAAACCTCTATTTTTTATTTTAAACCAGACTTTCAGACTGCAGTATCACTGAAGAAGGTTATAAAGCTCTGGCTTCAGCTCTGAGATCAAACCCTTCACACCTGATAGAGCTGGATCTCAGAGGAAATGATCCTGGACAATCAGGAGTGAAGCAGCTCAGTGGTTTACTACAGGATCCAAACTGTCAGCTGAAGACACTGAGGTGAGATTTGATGAAATGATACAAAATAAATTATATGCAGGCCAATTATTAACAAACATCATTTCACTAATTCAATATTCTGCACAATTTGTTGTTGCATCAGAATTAAAGTGATTTCAAGATAAACTAAATCTGCCTACTGATTTCCTATTTCATCTTCCCTTCTGCAGGTTTTTGGGTCCTGCTGCAGATGAAGCCTGTCAGTATGTGACTGGAATTGTGGGTAAAAACCCGTTACTCCTGAGAGAGCTGAATCTGAGTGAACGTGAACTAGAAGACACACGAGTGAATCAGATCTCTGCTCTACTGAAGGATAGACACTGTAAACTCAACACACTGACGTGAGTATTGCACATTGTTTTATACTTTACAGTATACATATCTTTAAAACAGAATAACAGTTTATATTACATTTTGATAATTGTCATTGAAATTTTTTTTAAACTCTTATTTGTATAGAAAGCCATTAGGACTCAGACACTGCGTGCAGCTAAAATAAGCACAGTTGATGAAAACATCAACCATAAAAATGAATGAACGTGACATAGAGGTTATGCAGCTAAATATAGTGAATCCCAGTTAAAGTGCAAAAAAACACTAATGCTTATTTCATTTATACCTGTTATCATGACCCTAACTTGTTGGTGAGTCCTCACAACAATCTCAAACATTAGACTGAATGTTGCTGCAGCTGTATAAACTAGGGCTGCACGATAAATCGCATGCGATATTTAACGCGCATCTTGTCAGAAAGCCGGTTCTGTAATCAGTGGTAAATCTCCATCACGTGCGTGCTTTCACATTGAGCAGCATTAACTACACCGAGCCGTTGTTCACTGACAGAAAAAATCGCGCGAATATGAACGTGGTTTTGCGCAGCTCGTCAGTGAACAACAGCTAGCCCTAGTACAGGGTTCCTCAAATCTTACCCTGGAGGTCCAATGCGCTGCAGAGTTTAGCTCCAACCCTGATCAAACTCAGCTACCTGTGATTTTCTAATGATCCTGAAGACATTGATTAGCATGCTCATGTGTGTTTGATTAGGGTTAGAGCTAAACTCTGCAGGAAAGTGGATCTCGTGGGCCAGATTTGAGGATCCCTGCCCTAGTATAAACACAGTTGCATAAAGGCCACCGTTTAGCATTTCGCTCCTGCATATGAATGCAAGGCATGTTAAACATGAGGCTTAGTTTAAAACATGTTTATTGCTCATTTAGAAATTAATAAGGCAGACCATGCAATATTCACAATGAAATGAGTAAAAGAGAATTCACTTATCTTAGATGTTGATTTTAGATGCTTTCTGAAGCGTGCTGCAACTACTACAGCAAGCATTAGTAGTGATGTCCGGTTCGCGAATGAATCGTTCGATTTAACCGGTTCTTCTTAGTGAACCGGTTGAACCAGTTCACCAAATCGGTCTGAATCATTTGAAACGGTTCGCGTCTCCAGTAAGCATTAATCCACAAATTACTTAAATTATTCACTTTTTTAACATGGCTGACACTCCCTCTGAGTCGAAATAAACCAATATCCCGGAGTAATTTATTTACTCAAACAGTACACTGACTGAACTGCTGTGAAGAGAGAACTGAAGATGAACACGAGCAGAGCATCCGGATAACGAACATACAAGCCCACTGCTGGAGCGGTTCTCGTTCTCGAGTCAAGAAACGGTTGCATCGGTTTTCGGATCACCAGTACACTGAACCGAGAACCGTTTCTTTCGGACACGTCCGATTTGAGAACCGATGAGCTGCTGATACTGCGCATGCGCGATTCAGCGTGAAGCTACCGAACAGATGGCCTACTATGACTGACACAGCACTTCTGAACCGAACTGGTTCTTTTGGACAACTGATTCTGTGCTAATGTTATGAGCGCGGGTAAACCGAAGACTTGAATGGAGGTCAATCCGGCGAAACGTAAATTTACTTAATTACAAATAAACCGTAATGGATTATAGTAAGTGGAGCATAGTTTCTGCGCTGATGAAGACTAATTTATTGACGTCATAACTGTAAAACATCCTAGTTTGCAGATCACGTATATGTGTTGATGCTTTAGATACAAAAATCCAAATTGTAAGAAACGTATCAGATTATAATGATGTTTTAATTGACTGATGTTATGATTACTGACTTTATATTTGAATGTGTTAATCCCGCGATAGACTTGACGCCATTACGTCATCGCCAATGACATCATTACGTCGAGCGTAAAAGAACCGGTGAATCGGTTTTTTCAACCGGTTTATTGAATCGAACTGTCCGAAAGAACCGGTTCGCGGAAAAGAACCGAACTTCCCATCACTAAGCATTGGCTGAGTATTTGAATGTTGGCTGCTGATGCGAAAGAAACCAATCAGCTGCGCCATGTGAATAATGATGTGATTATATTAGATTGAGTGCCATGCGCCTTCTAGTTTCATGACAGAGCTTTGTATTTATTGACATGTTAAAGCTAAAAAGAATAATGCTGAATGAGAAATTGAAGATTGTAACATGCTTGTTAAGTTATTAAAAGCACAATAAACTGTGCTAGAGAACTGCATTCTCTATTCACAAGCTTTCAGGTGGCCCTGTATGCATGTACAATACAATACACTACATTTACATATTACACATTATGTATCAAAATGCTTGACTTGGCGTGTATTCAGGTAAACAGTCAGATTTGTCTAAAGTGAGCGTAAACAGTTGGGAGAAAATCAGATGTGTATCAATAAATTAAATCTGTGCATTTAGTATTAAAGTGACAGCAACCTAATATACCTGCTGCTCTTGACTGAAAAACTTTTGTAGCATATTTAATTTATGCAGTCTCCACAGTTTTATTTTATTTCATATTTAATGACGCCATTTTTTGTAGTATTTTGTACTTGAATAATAGGCTACATAAAAAAAAAAAACTAATTTGCGTCTTTGTTCTGGTGTGTTTATTTGTCTTATTGCTTGTAATTTGATTTTGCTTTTATCTTTCTTATGAAGTTGTGTGTTGTGGCTAAAATATCCCAAATAATTTTTCCTGTCTTTGTTTTCTTTCTCTGCAGGCTAAATAATAACAGTATTACAGAAAAAGGTTGTGCTGCTCTGACTTCAGTGTTTATTTCAAATCCTTCAAACCTGATAGAGCTGGATCTGAGTGGAAATAAACTGGGAAACTCTGGAATCGAGATGATCTGTGTTCTGTTGAGAAATCCACAATGTAGCTTGAAGAAACTGAAGTGTGTATTTTTATTCATCTACATTTCTGTATGATAATATACATTTATAAATGCCCATTTGATTAGATTAATTGAAACAATTAAGATGACTATGGAAACTAATTTTTTTTATTTTTTTTACTTTGTGTTTAAAGAGAACTTTAGCCATTGTATGAAACTCAAATGAAGCAGGTTCTATTAATGCACTGGGTGTAGTACGTAACTGCTTTTTTATGTATATTTAGACTTTCAGGCTGCAGTATCACTGAAGAAGGTTATAAAACTCTGACTTCATCTCTGAAGTCAAACTCAAACCTGATAGAGCTGGATCTCACAGGAAATTATCCTGGAAAATCAGGAGTGCAGGGTCTCATTGATTTACTGCGGGGTGGATGCTGTAAATTAAAGACTGTCAGGTAATACAAGCCTTTTAGTATTTCGAAATAAGCCAAAGACATTCAGGTGTGTGCAACTAGTTAAATGTGACAAATAAAGCAAATGCAGAATTAGAATGACATGAAGAGGAATGTACTGAATTGCTATTCAGCAAAACAGGTAATATTTATCACAATTATGACTAACACATTCTACTCTTTACTATAATTTAGTACTACACTGGACCCATAAGGAGGATGGGAGCTGCAAAAGGCATAAAATTCTAACAAGATTATTTAATTTAAATTTTCTAAATGTTCTGCTTCCTGTAGGTTTTTGACAAGTCCAGCTGCACAGGAAACTAACACATTCTACTCTTTACTATAATTTAGTACTACACTGGACCCATAAGGAGGATGGGAGCTGCAAAAGGCATAAAATTCTAACAAGATTATTTAATTTAAATTTTCTAATGTTCTGCTTCCTGTAGGTTTTTGACAAGTCCAGCTGCACAGGAAGCGTGTGACTATCTGAGTCAAGTTCTTGGTACAAATCCATTTGTACTAACTGAACTGGATCTGAGTGAAGATAAATTAGGAGATCTGGATGGAGAGAAACTCTCTGCTCTTTTGAAGGACTCTCATAGTAAAATAGAGAAAATAAAGTGAGTCAACATGATTTATAACTTTTGTTTTGTTCAGTATAAAGTACTGTCAGTCACATGTGAGCAGATATAAAGATCTGTTGATCTGATGTGTGTTGAATATGATCTGAATAATAAATAATGCTGTTTTTGTGTTTAGGCTGAATAATTGTGAGCTGACAGAGAAAAGCTGTTCAGTTCTAGCTACTGTTCTCTCCTCCAAAACCATCCTGAAAGAGATGAACCTGAACAACAGCCGTCTGCTGGACTCAGGAGTCAAAGAGATCTGTGAGGGACTGAAGAAATCTAAGCTAAAGATATTAAAGTGAGTACATTTCAACATCACCTACACTTAACATTATATATTTATTGAATCTGGTTGCTTCCAGAGGTGAAAAAAAAGTAAGATTTTTTTTTCTCTCATAACAGTGGTATTATCTCTAGGTAAAATTAAAACTTAAAGAATTTTTTGTTTAATGTAATAAAAAATGGCACAATTAGAAATAAAATAAAATAAATGGAGCAAATAATTACAGTTAAGTATAATTAATTACAGTTATTTATATCAGCTGCCAGTGGTAACTGTAGCAGAATTATTATTACCGTCAACTAATCTGTTCGTCCAGCGAACTCTAAAAAAAAAAAAAATTTTGTGGCCACAGAAAATAACTTTCTTTCAAGTACTAATGCAATAGAGCATGTAACCAGATCGGCTTGTTAAAGGGACATTATCCGAAAGCAGTGACAGTCAGAAACCCATGTAATTTGTGCACAAAATGTTATTAACTAAACACTAACACACAACTAGTGTAAGCAAACAAACATAAAATCACACATATATGGGGGAGGGGCACATGAGACTGAATTAATGAAACCATTAGAGAAACAGGATGAAGCTATGAAAAGGAGTCAGTTAACCACCTGAGTGAAACCATCAACACTGTTTTCTGAAGATGGGGTCTACAGCTTATTCTAAACCTCTGTTCCATTTAGTTAAATGTATTGATACTTGCATTGCCTTGGCCGTTGAATGAGTGTCTGGATGCAGTCTTGGATGAAAGTCTTGATGGTTCGAAGGTTTGATGGTGTTGGAATTGCAATCACGTTCTACCAGGTTTGAACAGTGACAAACTCCAAAGATGTTATTCTGACTCGGTGGTGGTTGAGAGAGTTTTCTCCCAGATGGAAAGTGAAGACATGGCTGTAGTCCATAAAAAAAGCTGAAGTGGTTTGCTTACATGTCTGTTTTTTTGTTTATCATATCTGATAATGTATTCAGCTCTGGTGTGGTCTAGTTATATATTGTGACTCAGCATATTGTGCAGAAATGAATTAACTTGAAACACAATGTTAAATTGAAATGTTAAAATTTATTTAAATGTAAGCTTTATGTTTTGTAGACTTTCAAACTGCTGTATCACAGAAGAAGGTTATAAAGCTCTGGCTTCATCTCTGAGATCAAACTCACACCTGATAGAGCTGGATCTCACAGGAAATGATCCTGGACAATCAGGAGTGAAGCAGCTCAGTGATTCACAAAAGGGATGGGGTATTTTATCAAAAACACTGAAAACTCTGAGGTAAGTGTTATTAAAATAGTAAAATGCAAAAGTTTATAGCTGGAAGAGGGTTAAACCATCAAAAAGACATTTATAAAAGCTTTGAAATGACTGACCTTGAAATTACCCTTTAAAACAAGATTGCAAAAAATCATTATATGGCAGGTAATGTCAGTGTACTTCTCCTGTGTCCAGGTTTTTGGGTCCTGCTGCAGATGAAGCCTGTCAGTATGTGACTGGAATTGTGGGTAAAAACCCGTTACTCCTGAGAGAGCTGAATCTGAGTGAACATGAACTAGGAGACACACGAGTGATTCAGATCTCTGCTCTACTGCAGGATAAACACTGTAAACTCAACACACTGACGTGAGTATCTTACATCATTTAACATGTATTTGATAATACTATTTTCTTATTTGTTTGAGCCAGAGGCATCACAATGTGAAGTATTAAAATTAAACAGGCCATTTAAAACAAATACTTAAAAAAAAAAAAAAGACAATTAGCTTTAAACAGTAGGCCAAATCACTTTGATCATGGGTCATTATTAATTATTTCAGTTACTGTAGAGAGAGAGCAATGGTTTTCTTACAGAACTTACAAACTCCTCAAAACAAAAATGCTAAATGTTACTGCTCATTTCAGAACACAGCAAATTAATAATGTACCAACAGATCGGCCACCAATCTTTATCGGCTGACGTTCAACCTAATCCTTCAGTCCTGCTTAAATTCAGGGACAGTTTTTATTTTTTATATATTTTTTAATTGCAGCAAGCACACATACAGCACTACTTTAATGAATAAAAATGTGATCAGATTCATCTTTAATGTTTGTTGTTTATGTCAGTTCACAGTGCGTAATGTTAAGAGATACAACTTTTTATTTTAAAAATGCTGTAGAAGTATTGTTCTTCATTAATTCATGTTAACTAATGTAGTTAACTAAGGAAACCTTACTGTATGTAGCTGGGAACAGCAGTCCTAAACATATTTGCCAGTTGAGCGAAAGGAGACATTCAAAGAAGCAAATGCACCTGGAAAAGAAGTAATGCTTTATAATGTAAATGTTGTTCGAGAGAATTTCACGTGTGACTTTCAGATGACAAATTACAGTCTGGCAAATGATCCAAATCCTCCAAAACCTTAGATGATTTTCATAGATCTGATTCATTGTCTTTTCTCTTTCTGTCTTCAGTCTGTGTGGATGCAGTATTACAGAGAAACAGTGTCTCATCCTGACTTCAGCTCTGTGTTCAAACCTTTCACACCTGAGAGCGCTGGACCTGAGTGGAAATAAACTAGAAAACAAAGGAGTGAAGCATGTATCTGAAACACTGAAGGATGTACGCTGTAAACTGGAGAGATTGAGGTCAGTAACATTCACATACAAGAATCAAAATGATTAAAATCACTTCAACAGCTTTTAAACAAAGACACTTTATAGTCTGTATATTGTAAAGAGCCTGAGTATTTTGTGATCTGGTGAAGTCAAGATGATCTCTCTTTCTATGTCTTTACAGAATGTTTTATTTTCTGCTTTTCTCTTTTTCCTAATATAGGTTAAGAGGCTGTGATATAACAGATGAAGGTTGTTCTGCTCTGACTTCAGCTCTGGGATCAAACCCATCACACCTGAGAGAACTGGACCTCAGTGTGAATAAACTAGGAGACTCTGGAGTGAAAAACCTCAGTGATCTACTGAAGAACCCACAATTCAAGCTGGAAATACTAGCGTTAGTAACATTATACTGTACAGCAGTTACAGAGAGATTAAAAATCACTGATAAGTTAAACAGGCCCAGTTTACAGTATTTAAATTTCTGTCTTCAGTCTGTGTGGATGCAGTATTACAGAGAAACAGTGTCTCATCCTGACTTCAGCTCTGTGTTCAAACCTTTCACACCTGAGAGCGCTGGACCTGAGTGGAAATAAACTAGAAAACAAAGGAGTGAAGCATGTATCTGAAACACTGAAGGATGTACGCTGTAAACTGGAGAGATTGAGGTCAGTAACATTCACATACAAGAATCAAAATGATTAAAATCACTTCAACAGCTTTTAAACAAAGACACTTTATAGTCTGTATATTGTAAAGAGCCTGAGTATTTTGTGATCTGGTGAAGTCAAGATGATCTCTCTTTCTATGTCTTTACAGAATGTTTTATTTTCTGCTTTTCTCTTTTTCCTAATATAGGTTAAGAGGCTGTGATATAACAGATGAAGGTTGTTCTGCTCTGACTTCAGCTCTGGGATCAAACCCATCACACCTGAGAGAACTGGACCTCAGTGTGAATAAACTAGGAGACTCTGGAGTGAAAAACCTCAGTGATCTACTGAAGAACCCACAATTCAAGCTGGAAATACTAGCGTTAGTAACATTATACTGTACAGCAGTTACAGAGAGATTAAAAATCACTGATAAGTTAAACAGGCCCAGTTTACAGTATTTAAACTGTAGCACTGCATCTGTACTGCAACTGTATTTCTCTGTTGGTCAGACTTATTAATAGGTCTCTAACTAGGAAATAATTGGGTTTAATGTAAAGTATTTGATGAATTATACTGGTTGTGTACATGTTCTGCAGAAATATTATGAGATTCACATTTGCTGCAACAATGAACAAGAGACCAAAAAAAATTATGTCTCTAGTTTAAAAAAAAAAATGAATGAGAAGAAAACAACCGCTTCTGGCATTTGGAACTTAAAAACAGTTAAACTATGGCAACTAAAGACTATATGGAGGACTATATGCCTACTGTTGCTCTTTTATAAGACGCCATCAAGAATCTGAACCTTTGTCCTTTCTGTTTCTGTCTTCAGTCTGTGTGAATGCAGTATTAAAGAGAAACAGTGTGTCTTCCTGACTTCAGCTCTGAAATCAAACCCATCACACCTGAGAGAACTGAACCTCAGTGGGAATGAACTTAAACAGACAAGAGTGAATAAATTGTATGATATACTGAAGGATCCATGCTGTAAACTGGAGAGATTGAGGTGAGGAACATTCACGTACAACAAATAAATTAGTTTTGGTATTTTAATGAAACAGAATGAAAAACAAAATATTTGTTTAATTTCTCTGAATGCAGGTTAAGGTCTTGTGATATAAAAGCTGATGATTGTTCAGCTCTGACTTCAGCTCTGAAATCAAACCCATCACACCTGAGAGAGCTGGACCTGAGTGGGAATGAAATAGGACAATCGAGAGTGGAAAACCTCAGTGATCTACTGATGAACCCACAATGCAAGCTGGAGAAACTAGCGTTAGTAATATTATACTGTACAGCAGTTACAGTATGATTAAAGTTTATTATATTATGAGCTAATGGACTGATGATTCAGTAATATGTGTATCAGTAGAAAAAAATTACTTTGAAGCATTTAAAACATGTGGCTATAAAATTTTCATATGCTGAAGTTTGTCAAATATTTTCTGCAAAAAGAGATAGAAGTAAAAACCAGACTTTAAAAATGAACGTAAGTGAAGTGACATGTGGCCAAGTATGGTGACCCATACTCAGAATTAGTGCTCTGCATTTATCCCATCCAAAGTGCACACACACAGCAGTGAACACACACAAACCGTGAACACACACCCGGAGCAGTGGGCAGCCATTTATGCTGCAGCGCCCGGGGAGCAGTTGGGGGTTCGGTAGCTTGCTCAAGGGCACCTCAGTCGTGGTATTGAAGGTGGGAGAGAGCGCTGTACATTCACTCCCCCCACCTACAATCCCTGCCGGTACGAGACTCGAACCCACAACCTTTGGGTTATGAGTCCGACTCTAACCATTAGGCCACGACTTCCCCAAAAAAATTTTTTTCTTTTATTTTTTTATTTATTTATTTTTTAAGTGAAGTGACATGTAACATGAATGACAGCAGATTATTCTGACAGTTATGGGGTTTTTACAGAACTTATGGTAATGTTCACATAATCAGTTTTTATTATTATTTTGTGATGGTAAACTAGACTCTAAAGATTACTTAATATTGTGATTCTCATTAACAAACTTTTGATTTTCTCAAATGAACAATGTGAAAACAGTCCATTTAAATGTTATTTTTCAGTGATATTAATCTACATTTATAATTCACAAACGTTTTATGTGCAAGTGTGAAGATGCTCCAGGCTTGGGTTGTAATTAGTATCCTCAAATCACAGTTATGCTTCTGTCTTGGTTTATGGTTCAATATTTAAGTTGCCAGGTTTTTGGTGGTGTATTAGTGACAGTATGGTGTTTATTCATGATGCATTTAACTCACATGTGAACTTAACATGGATCTGAGTCATTGTCTTTTCTCTTTCTGTCATCAGTCTGTGTGGATGCAGTATTACAGAGAAACAGTGTCTCATCCTGACTTCAGCTCTGTGTTTAAACCCATCACACCTGAGAGAACTGGACCTGAGTGAGAATAAAATAGAAAACACAGGAGTGAAACACTTATGTGACGTACTGAAGGATTCACACTGTAAACTGGAGAGATTGAGGTGAGAAACATTCTTAAAAAGGTTTAAAATCATTTCAACATTGCAATTTAACTATAACACTTTTACTCAATATCTCACAAGGAGTCTGAGTTCACATTATATTTGTGGAAAATCCCTGTTGTGTTTTATGAACTGATGAAAGCAGGGTCTGTTATAAACACCTGACAGGTACCAAACACATTGCAGGTAAAAATTTCATTACCGATTAGCTTTAAATGTGGACTGTGGCACAAAGAACCTCAGTAACAGTAACATCACTAACAGTTATGAAGAAATGTGTAACTACAAGATACTTTTTTAAAAATGGCAGAGGCCACAGAGTGAACAACAGCGGGGTAACAGTATCAGCCAAACTGCCCGAAGTACATGTGCCTCAAACTAGACAGAGTGTAAGCAACGGAGCGCAAACAAGGCAATTAGTTTAATGCAAGAAATGATGTTTGTGATAAGAGTAACCGTAATGATATTATAACATTAACAGAAAATAACATTAATAAGTTGCAGAAGAGTGAATGTGTTCCTGCAGAATCTTCTTTCTCTGACACTTCGATTGGGCACTTTTATTTTTCTTTATTATGTATCATTTTTTTTATTTTTAAACTGCCGTTTACTTCATTTATATTTTAAAACATCAGGCAGCTTCTGTTGGTCAATACTGTGAATTTCTCTGTCAGATCTGAACTCAATACAAAATTCATCATGTGGGGGAATAAATTGTACATTTTAAAAGTAAATGCATCAGTCTGGTGCTCTTTATTTTTTGGCATATAAATAACAACTGCACCAAATTGCACATTTTTGCTCAGTTTGGAATCAAATTGAGTTGTTTTTCCTCCTCAAGTATGAGCCCCATATTCTCACTATATATTACAGTATATGAGCCATAAAATCCTGATTTATCAAATATGACACAAAACAAAGCACATGAAAACATTTTTCTTTAATATTTTGTCTAAAGGTTAAAAAAAAGTCGTTAAAAAAACAGATTTTTCGGACTATTTCATTATTTCAGTCAAGGTTAATAAATGTATTCTTTTTTTAATATAGCAAAAAGAAGTTTGAACATAATGCTTTTGAAAATACAATAAAATAGTACACAAAAATGGGGGAGGGGGTTCCCAATTAATTCTTATTTGTATTATTTGTTAAAAAAAAAAATATTTTTTATTTATTAATTTTTCAGATATCTTTTTTGGCATGTTTTGGTCCAGATTAAAAAGTAAAAAAGAAAAAAATGTCATTCATAAATACTAAGTCTTTAAGTATTTAGTGTTGTTTGATAAACACCAAAACTAATACAAAAATCTGAATGGCTGATTGAAAACATGTAAATATTTTTGACTTCCTTCTCTGTGAAAGGTGCATGTCAGGAACAGAAAGTAGTGCAGTCTGCTTTGTTTATGTGACATGCTGCAGTGCAAGTTTATGTTGATGAGAACTTGAAAAGATTTTTGGTTCATTATCAAACTATGGTGGGACTAATTAGACTATAGCAGACCACCATAGTTTAAATAATTAATGGGAAACACTGAATTTCTCTGCCACTGGAAAGCCATTAGGTGAAATTCCTCATCACATGGTTTCTCATTGAAGTGACTGTGATTTTGTCTTGTACAAAATGATGCTAAGAAATGACAAACATGACTGTGACCTCTGGGTTAATATCACACTCTGGGTTAATATCACACTCTGGGTTAATATCACACTCTGGGTTAAAGGGAAAATAATTTTCTTCCTCTGTCTGCTTGTCTTTCTCTTTCTAGTCTAAATGACTGTGGCATTACAGATGTTGCTTGTTTGGCTCAGTCTTTGGCTGAAACAAAAGCACTGCAGTTTTTAAAAGAGCTTGATCTGAGTAAAAATAAAATAGGAGACTCAAAGCAGCAGCTCAGTGACGTGCTACGAGACTCAAACTGTAACCTGAGGTGAGAAAACATCCTTCTGTCGCTATCATGCTAACACCAACAGACAAACATCATGTTTTAAATGTATTATATTTAAAAACAATATTTTTGTTACAGTCTGCTTTGTACTAATTAAAATATAGTAACAAATTTTCAACTTGTTCCACTCAACACTGTTGTTCTCTTCTGATTCCCTCCTTACAGCCTGGAGAAAGAACATTCGCTCTTGAGAGCTGGTGTGAACTACATTGGTAGTATTGATGGATGGTTTACTTGGTCTAAAGCTCCGGAGGAACCTGTGAAATCAACAGAATAAGGGAAATCACCGTCAGATGAGGAATCCTCAGAAGGTTCTCACTATAGTACTGTTATAAATTAATGTGTGTGATGGTCATTTTAATTTTGGTCAGATGTTGCTAAACAGCAAGCAATTAATACAAACAATGCCAAACTTACAGCTTCAAATAGTGCAGCTTTAACAAATCTAAAGTTATTATGCTGTTATATTTTACTTTTTAAAAATGATTACTAATGCATACAGGTGGTTGCATTACCAGGAGGTTAGACCTTCAAATGAAATAATGCAGCATTAATAGAAACATACATGTACACATGAGTGATGGTGAATGCTTTATTGTTAGTTTTGTGTTTATCTGAATGCTATTTTGCATGTTTTACAGGTGAAACAGAGGAGGGAGAAGAGGCTCATGAGCGCGCAAAAGAGGTGGATTAGTAAGAATACAAGTCTATAGTATAAGACCTTCATCATGATGTCAAGATTAAACTCGTCCATAATGAAGCAATTAAAATATTGCTAATCATGACTGAATGTAATGTAGCACTTATATATCAAATAACATAAACTGAGTCTAAAATGAAAATTGAATTATTATGGGCTACATGTACACAGATTCAAATCAGTGATCTATAACAGAGTCATTTTTGGAGATCAGTGGTCCTGTCGTATTTATATTACTTTATACCATTGTTTATTTTACATTTATGCATGTTTTACATTGCATTTCTCTTGCATTTTATATACAGACTGTTTGTTTAAATGTGTTTTAGTAAGTTCTGTGTCTGTCTCATGAGAAACATGTCTCTGTACATAAGACAAAGCTTTGACTGAAGACAGAGATGTGGATGAATCTGTTCTCTCACACCGGCGCACACTGATCTTTACTAGTTAGAATTTATGTGGCATATTATGTGCTTTCAGTCATTATATTGTAACTATACAAATAAAAAACGTGATCATTTTATTTAGTTTGAAGAGTTTATTAATTCAATAGCCAGCTATCAGTATAATTGGAGATACAGCAGATACCAAGATTTTCCTCTGAAAAAGTCACATCTGCAGTTCCTCAAGTTCACCGCTAGAGGTCAACACCATCACACTGTGTGAAGTACAAGCAACAGTTTCAGCATGTCACTATTGTGTCCAAACCATTGACTGCATGCTCCAAACTTTGTCCAAACCTTCAGCAGAACTAGTATTTTACAGCTCTGTGTGTGATTGCTTTTCCTGCTGTTTCCTGCTGCTGCTGCTGTTATTATTACACAGAATTCTATGCACATGAATTAGATATATTTACATTAGAAACACTTCTAAAAATGTGTAGTACAAATCTACTAATTAACTTATTTAATTTATTCGTAAGTTTGTAATATTTAAGCAAGTCATGCATAAATCAAATGACTAGATGTACAATATTTCCAAATAGTTACAAATTTCTCACAAAAATAAATGTATATTTGTTCATTCACACTCTTCCATTCATTTTATTCTGGAACATGTGAAGTTTGTTATAGCGTTTTTATTTCTTAAATATGAATATAAATGTATTATAATAAGTTTGTATGAATGAATGAATATGAAGTGGATGTGTTTGCGGGAGGTTTGTGTTTCAGAGTGTTTGTATGAATGAATGAATATGAAGTGGATGTGTTTTCACGAGGTTTGTGTTTCAGAGGGTTTGTATGAATGAATGAATATGAAGTGGATGTGTTTCGCGAGGTTTGTGTTTCAGAGTGTTTGTATGAATGAATGAATATTAAGTGGATGTGTTTTCACGAGGTTTGTGTTTCAGAGTGTTTGTATGAATGAATGAATATGAAGTGGATGTGTTTTCACGAGGTTTGTGTTTCAGAGTGTTTGTATGAATGAATGAATATTAAGTGGATGTGTTTTCACGAGGTTTGTGTTTCAGAGTGTTTGTATGAATGAATGAATATTAAGTGGATGTGTTTTCACGAGGTTTGTGTTTCAGAGTGTTTGTATGAATGAATGAATATTAAGTGGATGTGTTTGCGCGAGGTTTGTGTTTCAGAGTGTTTGTTTGTCGCGCGCAGATCTGAGGAGTGTCGCGGGCGCGCGTGCACCGACATCTCTTAATTTCACTTAATTTCACTTCTCAGACAAAAACAGCTGGTTTATATCTGGATATTCCGGTCTCTGCTGGATCACTGTGAGGATATCTGTGCTGCTGGATTGAGTGTTTTCATGGAAAATGGCGAGAAGGGTTCACGCGTGTCTGCTGCTGTTGGTGATCTTCAGCGGATCGTGGACCGCAGTGGACGCGCTCACATTCCCGCAGCATTACACGCAAGACGCGATTCCCACAGCATTACACGTAAGACACGATTCCCGCAGCATTACACGTAAGACACTATTCCCGCAGCATTACCGCAAGACGCGATACCCCCAGCATTACACGCAAAACGCGATTCCCACAGCATTACACGTAAGACACGAGATTCCCGCAGCATTACACGTAAGACGCGATTCCCGCAGCATTACACGTAAGACGCGATTCCCACAGCATTACACCTAAGACACGATTCCTGCAGCATTATATGAAGGAACCATTCGTTTCTATTACACGCAAGACACGCTCTGTAAGAACTGTTTCCACAAAGTTACACGTTAGAAATGTAATTATAGACGTAGCCTATAAGAAATGTCAATTTCTACCACGTTTACGTTTCAGAAATGTCAATTCCCATTGAAATACAAACAAGAAAAGCCAATTTACACAAAATCAAAAGATGCAATAATAATTTCCACAACATTACACGTAACAAACTCTAATTCTCACAGCGTTACATGTAAGAAATGTTCGTTTCCTCCTCAATGCACGTTCAAGAAATATTAATTTCCACATTACATGTAACAGATTCTAGAAAAGGAAAGCTCACTTCCAACATTACACGTAAGAAAGTCATTTCCACGGCATTACACAGAAGAAAAACTTATTTCCACACCGTTACACTTAATACAAATTTCCACAACATTACACATAAGGCCTATAATTTCCACAACATTACAGGTATTATACTATTCACAACATTACACGTAAGAAATACTGATTTAAACAGCATCACATGCAAGACACGCTTATTTTCTCAACGTTATGTCAGAAAAATTTACTTCCACAACATTATACAAAAAACTCACATTACCACACACTTATTGATTGTTGAAGTTAACATGTTATTCATACGTGTTTAGGGTAAATTTGAGGTTACTAAGTTATACGTTGTAACAAATTTATCCCCCAAAAGTGAGGTAAATATGGCTAAACTTCTCTATGGGAGAAAAAATAAATAAAATATGAATTTTTAAAATTCTAAAATACAAATGTAAGTGTGATTGAGATTTACTCATTAAAAACATTAAAATTGAGATTTTAATGGTTCAGTAACCCTCAGAAAATCACAAAGTAATTACTGTCACATCTATCTATCTATCTATCTATCTATCTATCTATCTATCTATCTATCTATCTATCTCTGTGGCTTAAAGGGGTCATATGATGCAATTTCAATTTTTCCTTTCTCTTTGGAGTGTTACAAGCTCTTGGTGCATAAA